TCTAAATCTGTGTTCACTGATGGTAACACGACTGTATGCATTTGTCAAGACTCACAGAACTGCACCCTAAAAAGGGTGAATTTTACTGTATGTAAATTATACTTTAAAAAAGCAAAAGATAACAGCAGTAAGTGAATTGAAAGGCAAGCCTCAGACTGGGAGTAAATATTTACAAAACACCTATTTGATAAAGGAGGTGTATCCAGAATATATAAAGAATACTTACACAATAAGACAACCTAATTTTTTTTAAAAATGGTAAAACATTTGAACAGACACTTCAGCAAAGCAGATATAAAGATGGCAAACAAGCACACAAAAAGATGCTTAAATTCATCATTAGAGAAATGAAAACCCAACAATGCCACTCCTAGATATTAACCAAAGAGAAATAAAGACATAGGTCTACACAAAGACTTGTACTTAGCAGCTTTATTCAAAATATCCATAAACTGGAAACAACCAAAATATCCATTAACTTGTGAATGGATAAATAGATTACCTCCATACAATGGAATACTACTTAGTATTAAAAAGGAACAAACTACTGATACATAAAAAAAACTTGGATCAATCTTAAAAGCCATAAGCTAAGTGAAAAAAAAAAAAAAAGACTGAAAGTCATAAAAGACTATATACTATATGATGAAATTTAAATAAAATTCTAGAAAATGCAAAACTATGTTTCAGAAAGTAGCTCAAGAGCTGGAGGTGGGGAAGGGGATAGACAACTAAGGGATATGAGGGCACACTCCAGAGTGGTAAATAAAGTTTCTATATCAAGACTGTGGTGGTGGCTCCATGACTCTATACATGGGCAAAACTCAGTGAATTGTACACTTAAAATTGGCGAATTTTATCGTTTTTAAGTCAGTAGGAGGAATATAAATAAGCAACGAACAGGAACAGGTAATTCAAAAGATAAAAGTAAAATGGCTAATAAAAACATGAAAAGAATTTCAACCTCAGCAATGATAATGAAAATGCAAATTAAAACCACGAAGAGATGCCATTTCACATTCATCCAAATGGCAAATAAGAGGGGTCTTCAAAAAGTTCATGAAAGATTTGTATTATCTTTTAATTCTATTTTTCCACAAACTTTTTGCAGTATCCTTGTATTCAGGCCTGATGAGAAGAAATGGTGAGAATTTGGAGCAATGTCTCTGTAAATTAGTATAACCCCTGCAGAGGTCAATTTAACAATATCAAGTAATTAGTGTTATTGAGAGGAACAGGTAAAGGGGCCTGAAAATCAACTACAATGTATATTGAGAAGTAAAATAAATTAATTTAAAAAAAAAATTCCATTTGTAGTTATCTACCCCAGAAAAATTTTCACTGTGTGCACAGGTAGACATGTACATAAACACTATGTATATCAGTCATAATAGCAAAAATGTAGAAGCAACTTAAATATACACCAACAGGAGAATGGATAAATAAATAGGATTACTATATACTCACACATTGGGATTCCACACAGCAGTGAAACCAAATAAAGTAGAAGTACATATAACAAGTAGGTAAATCTCAAAAACATCAATTTTTTAAATTGCAAAATAATATGAAGATATCATTTATATCATATTTTAAAACACAAAAATACTAAGTATTTATTATAGATACAAATGCATGCAACACACATATATAAACAAAAAATAAAAGAATACCAACTTCAAGATAGTAATTACCCTCTGGTAAAGGAATGCTGGAAAAGAAAGGAACTTCACATGTGGCTGGCAAAATCTCCATCTCTCCTTTCCCCAACAAAATCATGCCTTCAATTCCATATTCTGCCTAAAGGACCATCAAAACTAATCACATCATGCTGTACGTGGCTACTTACCTCAGTTACTACAAAAAGCCTAAAATATCCTGGTCATCACTCATCATATGAACACTTATCACCATGCAGCTGGGTATACCACCTCATCTGATTCCATTTTCCATCCTTCCACAACTCCCAAATGCCTCCGTCATGTTCTCTGGCACTTTCATCAGCAAAATCCCCTGTTTCCTTAACCCCTCTCTAAATGTTCCCATCTTTTTCTCTAACTGAAACCTGGCTCTCTCCTAAGGATTCTCTGGCAGCTTTCTCAAATGGTGGCTGTTTTCTCTCCTATAACCCTCAACTACCAGGCCCACAGGTGGGGAAGCTGTCCAAGTTGATCCTCACCACCTTTTCAAAATCACACTGCCCCCTTCTTTTATTGCACCTCCTTCTTCCCTAAAAAGCCTCTGGCTTTATAGCTTATGCCCTTAGACTGCATCACCTGCCACCATTACTGGTTGCATATATAGACCCCAGGTTACTACTATTATTTTTAAAAAATATTAGTACCTTGTTCACTGTCACTCTCTTCAATATTATCCCAGTAATAAATATTTGTGATTTTACTATCCATACAGATGATACCTCTAAAACTCTGACCTCTCCATTCCTTGACTTCCTCTCCTCCACGAGCCTGCCTTCCTCCTACAGAGATCACCCACTTCCACTCTCACAGCCTATATCAATAATAGTGTGATTTTACTATCCATACAGATGATACCTCTAAAACTCTGACCTCTCCATTCCTTGACTTCCTCTCCTCCATGAGCCTGCCTTCCTCCTACAGAGATCACCCACTTCCACTCTCACAGCCTATATCAATAATAGTACCCCTTTCCAATTTAATTTCCAAGCATCACACTCTCCAACCACCTGTACTGACTCCAACAATTCTTTCATTCCATCATGACCTACAATCCATTGATTCTTTGATCCTATCAACTTTTTTTGTTGTCCCAATCAGCCCCTGTTCTTACTTCCCTCCTAACAAAAGACTCCACAGTCAATATTTCATTCATTCAACTTACTTGCTTCTCCCTCTGTTTACTAATCTGGCAAATCCCCAATCCTGACTAAATTCAAAATCTAACCCTTCCATGCCTTAATCTGAACCCTGTAGCTGCAGAAAAACATTCACAATACTACCTGATAATATTTTAAATTCATAACCATTATTTTCAACAGGCCAACAATCCTACATTTACCTAACCCGTTTCCTTGAATGCTATTTCATATTTCCTTTTCTTAATACAAATCTTTGAGCTACAGTCCTCATTCTATTTATTCTACTCTGCATTCTCTTCCCTGCTCCATGTCTAGCTTTTCTCTCCAAATGCCAGCCTTCTGAGCAATAGCAATCTCAGGCCCAACACCAGACACATGGCTGCAAAATTAGAGCCACAAAGAGGCAACAGTCTTCCACGACTTTATATCAGCCGCAATAGCTCAAAATGCCTACTTTTCTTGTCTAATTCATCTAATAAATACATAATTCCATAATACTCATAGTATTCATAGTGGTTTGGCTTGCTTGATTAAACCCAAAATTTTGGTACAGGAAGTGGTCAAACAGGACCTTAAGGATATGAACCTGAATTTACTTCTCCAATTTGATTAAAGGCATTAATGACTTTTTCCAGTGGTAAAGAAAACACTAGTAGTCCATGGCATGCCATGAAAAAATACTTAAAATATCATCTGTAGACAAGGACCTATAGAAGACAAAGGGTTGGGTAACTAAGTAGTTGCTGCCATAGAACATTTTAGTAAAAATAAGTTGTATAATGGGTTAATTAGTTGCTTCTAAGTACTCTGGAGAATTGTTTTCTTGGAAAAAGAAAAAGGTGAGCTTAGAGTTTTAAATGCACAGCTTAAGGTCTGGATAAGGGACCAGAAATCTATAACTGCCTTAATACAAAGCCCTATGTCATATGACGACAGGGCTGAGATTTCTGAAAAGCATATCCTGCAGGTGGCTTACTTACAATGCAAATTCAATTCACACCCTTGCAGGGTATCTTATGTTAAAGTTAGAACCTTGACTGGGAAGGAGTGGGGTCCTGCAAATTGGGATGGGAACATATGGGCAGATTCTGATGAAGCTAAGTACCTTGAACCCCTAAATTATTCCAAGCACCCTTTGCCAGTAGGAGCAGTCCTTCATCCCATGTCTGAGGAAATTAGTCTCCCTTTGTCTGAACAGTACATAATGGCCTCCCCCTGAGTTAGGTGGACTGCTGATCTTCCTGAGGACTTACTCCTAAAACCTCTCATTATCCAGACACATAATCAGACTCAAACCCCAGGAGGTCCTGGGGGTTGGACACAAAATGTGACCTATGATGATATGCAGTACATACCAAAGAACTGTAAGATGTGGCCAATTTATGTTAACAGAAAGCTGGGAAATATATCACAGAATACCCTTCCCTGTATGGTTCTATGTTAAAGCTAGGCAAAAGAGAAACATGTGCCACATTTAAAACACAGAAGAAAAGCAGCAGCCATTATGCTCTGAAGGTCAGGGTGGGCTAAGGGAATGAGAGACAGATGCAGAGGTGCTAGCAAGTTTATTTTGTCTTCACTCTTCTTTTTTCTCTATTCCATGTCCCCTTCCCCACTCCAAATCCAGCTTTTCTTCTCAACTGCCAACCCTGCCAACCAGCAGCAACCTCGAACCCACCAAAAACTTGACTAAGAACTGACAGGTACGGTAGCTATATGCACTGACATCTATATTAGTCCACCTTTGTAGTGTCATGGCAGAAGCTGGGGATTAACAGTTTTTGTGACCACAGGGCAGATCTGTGGAAGAAAAGCTTTATATTACACACTAAAGTTCCTTCGTTTTCACATGTCCTTAATAAGCATTTATAAATTTTATGAAGATAAACAGTTTTTAAGTAATTCATCTGTGGAAGAAAAGCTTTATATTACACACTAAAGTTCCTTCATTTTCACATGTCCTTAATAAGCATTTATAAATTTTATGAAGATAAACAGTTTTTAAGTAATTTTATTGATCCTATATAAATTTTATGAAGATAAACAGTTTTTAAGTAATTTTAACCATATGAAGCAACACTCCCTAATGTGGAACACTCTAAAGTTCCCTGGGGAAAATGAACAAAATGAGCTTTTTCATTCTAAAAGAATAAAGACTTACATCATTTGATTGAAACAATCGAGTCATTGCAAAGAAGGCTTCTGTAGCTTCCATAGTTCCAAAGTGTTCACCCTATGTAAAATTTAAAACAGTTTTTTAAACTTAAATATATTCAGGATTTTCTCTTTATTTCTGAAAAAATCTTTTAGAACTCAGGGAAAAAAACTTTATAAACATTCTGCCTCTTCGCGATTTTTCTGGCTTTCAATTTATAAACCTGCACGGCAATTTATCCACTCTTTATTTAAAATAATTTGATATCACACACCATGTTTAAAAGTTCTGAAACAGTGGTCTGTAACCTTTTATCAGAAACTGTTTTAATTTTCCTAAAGAATTGTGATTTACAAGGAGTTAGAAAATGATAGCAAGTAAAGTTTCTAATTAGAACAGGATGTTATTATACTGCCTAAGAGCAGAGATCATACCTTTTGCATTTCTGTAATCTAAAGCCCAGCACAATGCCTGACATATCACAGGAGCATAATAAATATTAAAGAACTATCTATTAGGAATCTCAGCAAACATGGCAAAAAAGGGGAGCAACCAAAAGGGCAGGAACCAGAACGGTTATATAAAAAAATAAGGTTTAAGGGGGCTACTACAAATCTCAAGATATTGGCTCAAGCCCCTAAAAACACACTTTGGATCAGAGTTTCACTCACTTTAATGTGCATAACAAATTATCTGAGGATCTTGCCAAAATGCAGATCTCAGGTGAAGCCTGAGGTTTTGCATTTCTAACAAGCTCCAATAGTATAAATGCTTCTTATCTGGGAACCACATTTTTTGAATAGCAAGGTGTTAGATAATCTATTTCACTAATATTCAAAACTTTCAGATCATAAACTACCTGAAACATTACCATTTCAATATCTGATTTCTTCATCAAAAGTAATCCTATATAATATGTTAGGCTCAATCACTTTTCAGAACTTCTCATTTCACAAAAAATATAATTAGTCTTCCATCTATTTGCCATGGGTATAAGAATAAATTTTGATGAAAAACATTGAAAGTTTAGAATGAAAGACAAAATATAATAAGAGCTTACAATTAACTGGAGTATCCAACTTGCTCATCAGCAAGAGATTTCCCTCTCTTTCATAAACATTTACTGAATACCTAGAAGCCCATGTACTTTTTAGTCATATTGGAAAACCTTAAGTCCCTACTTTTTGACTTGAAATTCAGAGAACATACAGATATATCAACTCTGGTAGAAATTTAAAAGTATTTCTCCTTAAAGCTCTACCAAGAACTAGGCAAAGAGATGAAATGAAATGTTCCCAAACCTGTTTATTTAGTTAACTGTGTTTATACTGTGTTTGATAATTTATCAAGATAATTAAATGTTTCAACATGAGTTGCCCCATGAGAGGTACTGGCCAATATAAAAGTACATGCTACCCTGAATCAACTTTGACTACTTGAAATTCTGTTTATATAATGTATTTAGCCAACTTGGACACAATGTGTGCTATGAAAAGTTAAATCAACCTTATTTTGCCTTAAATGTTTCTAATCCACAGAGGGATTTTGCTGTTTGTGAACACATGCATTATATTTATAACCATGTGCTTGTTGCTTGGTCTCCATCTGCAAACAACAAAACTTAAATCTCTGAATGAGATCTTCAGTCACAAAATATAATAAAGATAAAATATTCTCTTAGAATTCAAATTGGAAACCACAGTCGTTTTAGCACGATATGTAAATACCTAGGGTATATGATATATTTATGTATGTGTGTATATTTATGTGTATGTGTGTGTTTGTGTGTATATATACATACAGTCAAGCACCACATAAGGACATTTGGGTCAACAACGAACCGCATATACAATGGTGGTCCTATAAGATTATAATTGTGGGGCTACCCAGTGAGCTCAGTTGATTAGAGCACAGTGTTATAATACCAAGATCAAGGATTTGGATGCCCATACCAGCCATCTGCCTTAAAAAAAAAAAAAAAAGATTATAATGGAGCTGAAAGATTCCTAACACCTAGTGACTTCGTAGCCATTGTAAGGTCTTAGCACAATGCATTATTCACATTTGTGGTGATGCTGGTATAAAAAACAACCTACTGCAAAACATGTTGAGGAGTTACTCTGCACCATAAAGATGAAAAAAATATATCTATGTTGAGGAGGAATGCCTAGCTTACCCATGAGGTGACCTGCCCAAAGGTGGCTCAAACCTTTAAGATAGAAAGCTAAGAATTTGATGCATTAGGTCTGACCCCAATTGAAAGAGTTGTTGTCTACTTTAGAATATTCGCATTTTTAAATGATTCCCACCCATCCCCATAGCAAAATAATAGTTAATAACAGTTAGCTAAAACTCACTGATTCCTTGCTCAGTGTCAGGCACAATCCCTACCTGTAATTAAATTTTCCTAACTTTGCGGGGGGTAGTATTATTCTAATACCCATTTAATAACAGATGAGGAAAGTGAGGTAAAGAAAGATTTACTGACATAATTAGAGGGGGCCCATACCCTCTCAACTAGTGGTCGGTTTAAATGACAGGAAAATTCACTGCTGTTCTTTTTTCACACAATGATGAAATCGCCTAACAACACATTTCTCAGAACATATTCCTGTGGTTAAGCATGACTGTACATATATATACATACACACACATATATATATGAATCTATAAAACAAAATCATATATTTTTGTTTTCTTCGTGACCGGTAACGGGATCGCAACCCTCGGTGTTGCGCCCGCACCACGCTCAACCAGTGAGCAGACCGGTCTCTATATGGGATCCAAACCCTTGGCAGGAGCGCCGCCACGCTCCCAAGTGCCGCACTCTACCGAGTGCGCCACCAGGCCGGCCCCAAAATCATATTTTCTAAGGCCCTAGACAGTTCATGAGATTTTTTTACATATGAGGCAAAAAAAAAGAAAACAAATAACAATAATAGCAAGCAGAACCTACATTCCATGAGTAAATATTTTTGTTGGTTTAGTCTGCTATATCCTCAGTATCTAGAACAGTGCACAGGACACAGCAAGTATGTAATAAATATTTGCTGAATGACTGAATGAAAACTATTCCTGAATGCTTACTATTCATCCAGCATTATTCTCAGTGCTTTTAATCACTGTAACTTTAAAAAACAGCTATTATCATAATCCCCATTTACAGAAAAGGCACACAATGAACAAGTTACTTGCCCAGAATCATATTGCTAGTAATGGTGGAATAGGGATAATAATATAAAATCTGAATATTAAAATCAAAGCTTTAATACATCACTATTTTATTAAAAACAAAAAGATAAAATATCTGGAATTCGTCTGATTTTGCACATTTTCAGAGGGACATAAAGACCTCTAAACACATATAAAAAATATGTTCTAACTAATACTCAAATTCAAATCAGTAAGTCTTTATTAAGAATCTACTATGTGCTTAGCTAGTTTAGTACCTCATAAGGAAAAAAGAAGTATATGTCATATACCCTGTGCTCAAGAAATTTTACAGATTATTATGTTAATCTAATATTTTTTATATTAAGTGAATTAAAAATAAATAAATAATTATACTTTTCACAAAGCACTTCACTACATGTTCTGTATTTCTATGTTAGGACACAAATATGAGGAAAATCAAAATAATTTACCTGGTTCAGTAAGTAAAGAATCTTTGTAAGAATATGCAAACATCTTCTTGGATTGATGGGCGTTTCATTGAATATACGAGCCTATGGAAACATAAAAAACATGATGTTATATACGGCATATTTTCTACCTTTTCCATCACAGATCACAATAAATCAACTTTAATAACATAAAGACTATTTTTAATCACAATATACAAATAATGTTAGTTGTCTACACTTCTCAATTTACTATGGTATAAGATAAATTAATAAGTGTAGATGTGGCCTTGATTTTCCATTCTACATTGTCTACCTCATTCCCTTGGGTTGACTACTTCAGCTTTATCCCTTAAATAAGAATCACAATGTTTATCTACATCATATGAATACAATGAGCTTAATATCTATACCTTCTTTCAATAACCTTGTACTGAACACCTCTTATGGCATTTTTTTATTGAAATATAATTGATTATACATATTTATGGGGTACAGAATTGATTATCAATACCTGTGTACAATATGTGATGATCAAATCAGAATAATTAATGTATTCACCATTACAAAATATAATTATTCTTTGTTACCTTTAACCAATTTGTCGCTAATCCCCCTTCCCCTGCCCTTTTACCACCTCTAGTAACCACTGTTCTGCTCTCTCCTTTGGAAAGTTCAAAGTATCTGAAACTATTTCCAACATGTGGCAGAGCCTGCATGTCTTTGCATTTCTATAAGTTCTAGATTCTCCTGTGACAAGTAACCCTTGTTCCTTTTCCCTCAAGTCTATATTCTCTGACCTCATTTACATTCCTTAATTCTTATTCTGAACGTCCTAATCATAGTATTTCAGGGGTTCTCTGTCCACCACTCTAAAATAGAATAGAAAAGAAAGCACAGTATACTTCCAAGCCATACCTCCTGTAAGACAGCACTCTTCTCCAGATGCTGAAAAGGATTGGAGCCACTACCTACGTATGTTAAAAAAAAAAAAAAAAAAAAAAAAAAAAAATCTTTAAGAGCGGTCTTACACAAACTTATTTACTTTCTGGAGGTTACTGTATGCATGGGAAATCTCATCTAAGTGAAGTGACCACTGGATGTCACAGTGATATTCATTACTAATATGCATATAAATTGAATGAAATCATTTTGCTTGATACTAGCTTTGTCATTACCACACTGCAAGAGCTTGGACTTTTGCAGGGACCCTGTCCCAAACGAGTGTCTTCTTTCCCGGCCTTCTTTTCCCATGAATGTTACAAATATGTCATTTCCACAACAACCAAGACTGATCAGATTGTGTGGTATGGCATTTTCCTTTTTCCTAAAGGCAAGCACTATTTTATGTGTTTCTAACATCTACTGAGCGGCAGAAACCAAGAGTTTCGCAGCGAATCACATAAGCCTAAAACTGGAAGAGGCCATGGAGGTTAACTACCCTAACCCTCTACCACACTGTGAGAGCAGTTATCAAACACTGAGAATTATTTTTCTTTTGCAGATGGCTTGGCGTCTTCCCTATTTGCTCTGGACCACAGTCGGGTAACAAAACGCAAGTCACTTCTGGATGCCTGAGCATTCAATGAGCTATGTCCCAAGGGACAGTCTTGACGCCCCCC